AAAATTCTTTCTAGAAAGTCAAGGTCATCCTTTGTCTTTGCACCTCTGCACCTGACAGGAACTGGATGGGTGGAACTGCCAGTATGGCAGTGGAAGATTGGACTATGTGATGGACTTGTCGGTGTGGGGGCAAGATCTTGAACTTTCAACAGGAAGCTTTCAGATTCGGGTTTTCCCAGATGTGCCAACATGGCTCTTTTAATAAATTGGAACTTTGAGCAATACTTTGCCTTGGACTCTGATTTACTTTTGGATACTATTTGGAACCCTGACGTCTCGTTCCAAACTTCTTCATCCTTAAAAAAGTTTAATTATGTTAATCTACATGAACACTTATTCATGGACAAGGTATATATAGTATCCTCCTTCTGACATTATTTCCTCTTAATATTCTTGTTGTTCCCCAGGCTTTTATGGTGGTTCTTTTGGGTGATAGCAGCTTTTCTTTTTTTAAATACTGCAAATAAGTATTGTTCTATTTTTCAGCATTATAGTTCCTATTGGTAGGAGTGGTTTCAAAGTAGCTACAAGAATGGGCAGCATGACAAAACTGGTTTTCTGCAAATGGGTTGGTCATCAATACCTCTTTTGAGTGCCTTAGAAGAGAGTGATACCATTATAAAAGACAGTATACAAGGAAATGCAAAGAAATTCCTTTGAAGTACTAAAGAATTATTTTCATAAAGCAGAGTTTCTCCAAACTGGGAGAAAGAAACTTGCAATAAAAAAACCCAAACCAATTTATTTTAGAATAAAGATTATAATTCTTACACCTACATTCCTGCATATATGGAGATATGTTTACAATTGTTTGACTTCAAAAGCTGATATAGCAATGTTTGGAGCTATACATCTGTTTCCCAAACCTGGGTGAATTCCCCAAAATTGAGTAAAAGTGTTTTTTCACACTGAACCATTAAGAGTTTTTCAGAGTAAATGATCAACCTTAAATCAAGCAGTCAGTGCGAACTATTATTTGAGGAAAAGGAGATAGTAAGCATTCATACCCTTTACTTATAGTTTCAGCTCCATGAATTAATATGGGACAAATTGTGTGCCCTATAGTGTGTTCATGTCATGTATTCCTTCCCCCCAGGAAGTAAGTATATTTAAAACAAATACTAAACTATATTTCCACAGTGATGCTACACATACAAAAAAGAGTCTTGTGTAAAATTGCTCATTATCTTAGAGCAGGGGTATCAAACACATTTGTCATGGTGATGTCCCATGATGCATTGGGATTTCCTCCCTTCACTAAACTGGGTGTGCGTATGGCCAGCATATGATGCATCCAGCCCGTGGGCCAGGAGTTTGAAAGGCCTGTCCTAGATAACATTAAAGTACAGTATTCATTCACTCACTCACTCACTCATTCATTTATTCATTTTCTATAATCCCACATATTGAATTTTATCGCCCTATGGGTCTCACCATGCTTAAAGTCTGTTATATCCTAAACACAGGGATGGGCTGCTATGGGTTCGCCCGGTTTCAGGAGAACCCATAGCTAACATTATGGCTGGTTTGGAGAACCTCGAAATCCCACCCCTGGCTGGCCCCACCCATCCTGCCCCTCCAACCTTTCCCTCCCCTCCCAGGAGTCTCCACACAGCCCATTTTGGATGCGAGGTTAGTGTAGGGCCCGCATGGAGGAGAGCCCGCCCGCACTCAAGGAGGGGGAAAACAGGCATCCCAGAAGGCCTCCAGAGCCCAAGGGAGGTAGTTTTTGCCCTCCCAGAAGCTTGAGGAAAGCCTGAGGAAGGTGAAAATGCCCCTCTGCTGTGATGCAGGAGGCTGACTAGGCCACGCCCACCATGGCCATGCCTACTCAGCAACCAGGCAGAGAACCCGTTGCTGAAATTTTTGAAGCCCACCCCTGCCTAAACACAAGGACCAAATACTGGTTTTTCATATCTTCTACCTTGAAGTTGAGAAGGAAAGAAAGAGTGAACTGAATGAACAACAGAACCTGGGTTGACCAGATGAAAACAATTTGTGAAGTCTCTTGATTTTATCCATCTTTTACCATGTTTGTCTATAGAATGGAATATGGAAAGTGGACAATGTACAGTATATATAACATGCATATATACATATGGTATCACAGTTTGTCCAGACATGCAAAATAATTATCAATCTTCATTGTTTTTCATAATTAGCATTATCAATTAATGACTTCTAGGTATTCTGAAGGAGAATACTTAGAAGAAGATAAGCAAGTAGTTCATACTGTCCCAAAGGTGCTTTTTTGAAAGGCAAACAGACTTTGTTTTTCCATAAAGATGTTTCAATTCTTTTGCTTCATGGGAAGCAAAATGTCTTCAAGGAAAAACAAAGTCCAGTTGCCTTTCAAAAAAGCACCTTTGGGAGAACTATGACCTGGATGACTGAGAAACGCCATAGGCAATTAAGTGATTCATGTTTATCATCCTCCAGAATTTCCTCCTAATCTGCATTCTTTATAACTGAACTGCTGTTTGATGATTTGTATTAAAATGGTAACATATTCCATGTTCCTCTTCCTTTTCTCCATTCAGTTTTTTAAAAAAAACTTCTACTTATCTTAGCTATAAATACTTTTTGCAATTATTTTACTGGGTACTTTCCTACAGTATGAAAAAAATGAAACAAAACAATTTAAATGAAATAATCCTATTTTATTTGGATAAACCTATGAACTATTCTGATAGAAAACATGCCAACGAGAAGAAGAAGAAGAGTGATCCAAGAAACTGTCACTGCTATTTAGCAATTTAATCACAGTTAAGCAACTGGCTGCTTCTGCACTAAGTAACCCATTGTCAGCATTTCTCACAGAAAGTAGTTATATGGTATCCACGAAAGGTGGCTTTTTTAGCCAAAACAATAGGACTGGAATGAAAATGGCTCTTTTGAAAACAAACAAAAATTATAATGTCAAATATCAAAATCTCAGAACAATGTAAGTATCAAATGTAAGACTTTGCAATAGATGCAAAGAAAGTGCAAGGAATGCTTTCCTGAATGAATGGAAGGATTTGGGGTGAATTTGTCGATAAAGGGGGAATCAAATGTTTTCAAAAAAATAAACTAGTTGTTCTGTAGGATTTCTGAGATAAGTAATATCACAAAAACTGATTATATTGTAAAACTGATTTGGAATAAATCTCATGACTAATGATATCAGGAGTGTATGAAAAATGGTTATATATTATAGGTGATATGGTAGCCAGGCAACATTTAATGGAGAAGACACTGTTTCAGTCCTGTAGCTTGCATAGAGCTGCCACTTAATAAAGCTGAGAGATTTGCTGGCATCTAACAGTTGAAAGTAATGCAAGATCAAATCTGAGTCTGTCATCGGAACCAGAGCTTTACCCTTCTGAGCTTTCAGACTGGAGCCCAGCAAGCGTCTTTCTACTGGAATATGTGCTTTGGGCTATTTTGTGAGTCATATTTATATGGTGCCTTCCTATTGGTTGATTGGTGTGTTGGTCATTGGCTGTTGTTTCCTTGTGCTGCTGCACCCTTGGCTCCTAAGAGCCCAGATTTGATTTTGCAACATTATACCGAGGCATGTATATTTACCTTTATACTTTGATTTTTGAAGGTATACAAAGAGTTCTTCTTCAAGACACAATAGATTGTTTGTCTAAGGGGTGAACACCCCATTTTAAAGCCAATAGTGCATCAAAGCGTAAAAAAACCTCCCTTTCTAATTTAAAAAAAGCTCCTTCTATCTAAGTATTTTATATCAAGCACAGATAAATAGTAAATGTCCAATATAAATTTGATTTTAAGCTAAAGGGTTTAAACAAGAACAAGTATTTCAACAGCAACTATTTTCTCTCAGATGCTGCAAAAACAGCCCCAGATCATTTTACATGTATTTATAACATACAATATATCCATGCAATCTGTTGCAAAATGTTAATTAGGACTACCATCATGTAGGTTGCATATTAGCGGTTACACAGTGTTAAAATAGAGTGCAACAGAGCCCAGGTAGCATTTGGTATGTGGGAGGAAGGAACTGAGACATGCTTTGCTAAAAGATTCACAGTATCCAGAGAGTCACCATAAGGTAAACAAGCTTACTTACTAGACTAGAAATAAGCTACATGTGTTGCTCTGGCTTCATTTTTCATATTTATTTCTTTGATTTTTGGAGTTGGGGGGGGGAATTCCTTTGTGGACTACAGAATCCTAGTCCAAATACTTTTTGACACAAAATAATTACTTGAAAACTGGAAAATTCACATGCATTGAGTGAGGTGAACTGTGGTGTAGCAAACAGCAGATTGTATTCTCTTTTATTTATATTGTGGCAAGTATGTTAGCACACCATATGTGAGCTTATTCCTCTAGCAATTAGCATCCTATCTGCTTTCAGTCATAAACCTGCACGCTATACCTAGTTTAATTCATTCTTGTGTATGTGTGTGTATATACTTTTTCATTTAAGAAAGAGAAATTAAAAGCACTGGGATAAAGTTCATTTAACTGCATTTGAAAAAAGTCATGGACTTGTGACTAGCCAGAGGCTGGGTATGAGTCAGCAGGATAATATAGTGCTAAAAAATGAAAAATAGAAATCAATTGACTGATTGATTGAACGATTGATTTGGGATTTG